TTCGGATTGAATGGGTACTGTGGGCCTGCACATACCCTGTTGAATTTGGACTGAACGGGTACTGTGGGCCTGCACATACCCTGTTGAATTTGGACTGAACGGGTACTGTGGGCCTGCACATACCCTGTTGAATTTGGACTGAACGGGTACTGTGGGCCTGCACACACCCTGTTGAATTTGGACTGAATGGGTACTGTGGGCCTGCACATACCCTGTTGAATTTGGATTGAATGGGTACTGTGGGCCTGCACATACCCTGTTGAATTTGGATTGAATGGGTACTGTGGGCCTACACATACCCTGTTGAATTTGGACTGAACGGGTACTGTGGGCCTGCACATACCCTGTTGAATTTGGATTGAATGGGTACTGTGGGCCTGCACATGCCCTGTTGAATTTGGACAGAATGGTTATTGTGGGCCTGCACATACCCTGTTGAATTTGGATTGAATGGGTACTGTGGCCCTCTCACTTTTTACCATCAAGAATTTCAAATGGGTACTGTATTTGTAATGACAGAAAGCTTCCCATTAAAATGGTATTATGTACCGGGAGTACCGGTATGTAATATTATGTAATAATAACCATAAGAAGGACAATCTTCATTGTTTCTTAGGTACTGCCTGTCCACACTCTTTGTACTGTGCAGTGGGCTTGCTGTACCCAATCAAACAAAATCACACAGGTAAAGACCTGTTGGAGTCTGTGTGATTGGGTACTGTGAAGTAAGAGTGTTTTTCCAAGGTGCTGAAGTTTGTGATTGGGGAAGGTTAGGTCCAGGTCCTTGGGTGGTTAGGGTTACGGAAGTTTCCACTGCAAGTCGAATCACAAAACGAAATCAAGTTTCTCACAGGTTTTTCCTTGAGTCATCACTTCAGAATCGCATGTGACAAGCAATATGGTTACACTGATTCTTGCTGCTGAATTGAATATACATATAAGAGATGTACTGAGAATGGCAACGAAGCAAGTTGGCAATGTAAGTAATGTCAGGCAAATGTTGTTATTGAAAACAATCAAAACCAGCACAATACTAGTAGAAGTATTTAATCAAAATTTCTGTGAGTTCAGTCACATACATGTAGGCTACCCTGTCTACACACATGTACTAGAGTTCACAAGTGATACAGACTGTGTTGCAGGTTGGCAGTTATTCCTTTGCAAGTGTGATTTTCCTTAAATTCTGAGTCACAGCCTGGCTGAAGCTCTGTCAGTCCTAAATATTTTTCTTTCATTTAAAGCAAATTTTCAATGTTCAATTAAAGTGGAAGAAACTTCAAGAGTCAAGCAGGGTGTTCAGCATCAGATTTTTTGGTATAGCAGTGTTCATTAAAGCAATGTAGTACTTTATCTTTATACTTATGCAGAGATGACACATTTGATCAGCAAGGTTTCCACAAATTGATTTCAGGATGATTTTACCTCAGCTGAACAGTCCTTTCAAAGACCATCCAGGTGTGCTCCCTGCTTACAGTTTGCCAGTGGTAAAACATGTACCAGTAGGTCTGACATACTCTGGGTACCGGTACTTGATCTGGGTGCAACCTTAAGATTCGGAATCTTTTTTCCCCGTTAAAAGAGTTCAACCGTTGTGTATTGCATCAAACAGCTCTCACTATTCATCTCTTACTTATGGCACACAAAAGATTTGTAGAGATCAGATTAATAATGGCACTGAGAGGTAGTTTCTGATGACGTCTGGTTCAGACCCAGCACCCAACACCAAAATGATGTGCATAAGCTTTACCCATGCACGTACATGTGCGTGCCATTTGGCCCCACTGGCGCAATCTCAACCTGAACAAAGTCCTCTTCAAACTGAAGTGTGCAGGAAGACACCACAAAAGGTATCTTGTTCACTCCTTACAGCCGATAAGTGGCTGATTCATAGGCTGGCTGAAGCCCTGTCAGGAGAGGATGGTTGATAATTGAAGATTCTAGCATCAAGATCATTAGGATGAACACTTGGTGTCACTTACATTACAGCCAGCACATACTGGTACAAACCAATGACAGAACAGCAACGACAGTGATAGGATGACTAGGGACAGGCTACCAGTACATAAAGCGTGCTACTCCAAATGTTCTTGAAATAATCGGTTAAAGGTAGCCATGCTTACGTCTCATCCAAAAGATGTTCATTTTGTTCACAACTCTATTTACTTAAGGCTTCATCTTCCTTTCAAAACACATTTTTGTATTTGAAACAGAACTGAATTGATTTAAAATCAGCTGAGCTACTTTAAATGAGCTACCGGTAATTTAAAATCATTTAGGTCCTCCATCGGAGTATATATACATGTATATTGAGGCGATTATATGAATTGTCTCATTTAAGTCATCTTCATTCCTGCTCATCCTAGAAGTCTTAAAGTGTATTGGATTTATCCCACTTCTGATTCAAGACTTGTGAATACTGTAAGATCAGTCATTTTTTCAAAGCAAACACTGACACCAGTTATTCCCTTCCATCGCTAAAGAGCATGCAAATGCGTACATCAGAGAAAAGAAATCACAACAAGAGAACTTTGCAAATAAACAAATTAATATTTAAAATCTTAAGTCACTTATAACATTTAATGTGTCAAAAACTTAATTGTTAAATTTCTTTTGACAACCCTTAAGTCAAGGTTAGCACCTCTCTACAGGTGTTAAAGTTTAAACAAAAATGCATGGGGCAGTTTATTTGAATTTTCCAGGAAAACTTAGAGTAGTCAGTGAGGTCTATAAAATGCATCCGCAAGAATGAAGTACATCAATACATCAAAGAAGTGCAAAAATGGATGACTAACGGAAAGAAACTAAATTTCATCCAGTGCTTTGTGATGGGGGGCCGGTATAATTTACCAGGGCATACAATGTTGCCACAATTCTTTTCTTCAAATGTCAATTTTATAAAGTTGTTCTCAATTCAGAACATGTGTACATGTACCGGTACGTGACAGCCAATCAGGGAGCATACATACAAACTATTACAATGAACTTCTTTGTGAATACTGGTAACTGTAATTTGCTAACATTACAGCAAAGCACTGCCTTCTGGTTCCAGGAAATAGCAAAGCCATTGAAAGAAGTGGGAGTATGCAGGGGAATGCACTTCAAAAATACTTTTCAGCAATCTAAGGGATTTAACTTTACATGTACATGTAACACAACGGTTCATGGCCACTGTAAGGAAAAGTTTACAATGGATTTGCCGCATGACTGAGTTACATGTCATGTATAACTCATGTTCATAGGTTTATTTTACATGTGTGATAAACTGCAGTGTTTAAGAATAGATGAGATTTGGTCTCAAATTCCAAAGATTAAAAGTACAAAAACTAACAGCAAGGCAAAAGCTTTAAGTTTACCTGTTATAATGTGAGGTATTGACCCATCTGAATTTTTTTACAAATTTGGCCTGTTTACTGGAACAATTTTCATGCCTTCTTCAAGTAATACCAGTACTTAATAACAGTGGCATTTCAACTGAAGCAATCAATCAAAATATCACACAAAAATCAGCAGCAGAGATGTACATGAACCTACCGTTATTGTTGGGTCTGGCCTTCCATCTGCCCTACATCGCAGGGTAGTAGGCTCCCCCCTTGGGACAATCACACTCTGAGGATGTTCAGTTATCCGTGGAGGATAGTCTTCTCTCCTATTACCACCAGGTGCTCCAATCACTGGCAATCAAATCACACAATACAGTCATTACATTATTAACATCAGATGATTAACACATGAACAGGTGATGTGGTGACAACAACACTTCAAACTGAGACTAATGTTCGAAATGCACAGACTGCTTGTCAAAGAAAACAGTGTCAAAGAAAATTAGTTCGTGAAGACTGTTGGAATAAAAGTTAAGTAGTAAATACGTGTACTTTTGTAATGCAATATTTGATACCTTTATCGTTCATTTTCACAATCTTGGGTTTGCACCTGTTTACAAAATCCCGAGTTTCCTTCATAATCCATTTGCCATCCTAATTTGGCTTTTATCAGCATCCTGATTTTGTTCTACAGCACATTTAAGGAATGCTGTAATTTGGAAATATACATGTAGGGTCTATTTGTAACACAGTGTCCAACACTTTTATTATCTGGTTTCACCATTCAAGTCTACAATCTACCCAGTATTTTCTCTTTTTCAGTTGTGACCAAATCCCACATGTAGTAAGCTTTCCATACAATCGCTAGATGTGTAACAATTTTGGAATCCTTGATGAAAAAGGGTATTATGTCAGTGAAAAAGTTCAGGGATCCTACTTGTATGCATGGTGCAAAATTCTTTTAAGGTTTTCATCTTTAAAGTGGCTCTGGAGACTTGCAAGGCTGGGCCATAATTTTGCATTTATACGAACAATCTATTTTCTGTCCCAATTTTACTTTTGTCAGAGTCATGATATTACTTTTAAATTTTCCAGCCATTACATTCAACCACTCTGCATCCTTCTTGCTCATACTGCATTCTTGGCAGGCACAATTAACACCTCAAGTAAAAAAAATGTGCATAAACCAAATAATACACATTGTAAGAAACTCTTGCAAAAGAAAGTTTTAATACATTGTATTATTTGTCTTTCAATAGACTTAATTTGAGAGGACTAGGCCTACATGTACAAATGGATGGTTGCACGACAGCTACAGTACACATTCATGAACCCATAAGCTTCATGCACGAGTACTGTACCTCATTCAATGCTGACAAAGAGACTGGCAAACTGCCTACATGCACATGTACCAGTAGTTGCACATTGATCATTTGCATTCCACACCAAATATATGAGAAAGAAACAATACCTATAGGGCTCTATGATTTGACTGTCCAATGGAAAGTTGCTACAAAGTAACAGAGTGCCTCCTGCTGTTTGTCCACTGATTCTCAAGAGCCTTTATTGGCTCTGATTCCTAATTACATGTAGATGCTTTTAGTCTACCCACCAGTTTATCTGAGCCAGCCCACAAGCACACCTACAGGGAGACACTTGGCCTGAAATACTACATGTAGTTGGAAGAAAATGCAGATGGTATTCTGAGTTGGTATTTCTGAAAATATTTCACTCCTTAAAACTGGTAAAATTCCAAACACTCCGTACATTTGACAGAGCCTGAGACAGACCACAATACCCATGAAGAATAAACCAGATGACTGACCTACATGTACCGGTACCTCAGTCTTAGGTTACTGGTTACTGGTACCTTCAGAACTAACCCCCAAAATACAGAAATCAAAATGTGATTGATAAATCACTTTCCAAATCAATCAAAAATACTCATATGCTTTAACAGTGAAGTATTTACTCTGTCAAACTGTGAAACACTGTTCACCTCTTCCACTTTGAAAGAAGGGTTTTTATATCCAATTTTTTACAACACATGAATGCCAGAGAGGAAAGAGTAAAGCTGATGGAATTTGCCACTGTTGTGGCATTGACTGTTTTGGTTTTCTGTATTTTCTTTTTAATATTTTTTAATGTTGACTTTGAATGAAAACTGAAAAGTTGAATGCATCTTCCACATTGGACTTTCTTCTTGTAACACACTGCATGACAAATTGCCAAATGCAACAAAATAAAAGTTTTAAAAAGCTGAGCTTGAAATTGGAAACCTCTCAAGCACACCAAAATGCAATTTCCCTAGAATTTGTTGCATGGTTCATGCGGTGTAAATACCAACCTTTGCACCATGAAGTGTTGCGAGTTCTACATGTAAGCAAACACACAACTGTCACCAATGTTGCATTCCATTATACTACTGCATTTAGCATCAGTACACTTCATGTCTTAACCCTAACCCCCTAGGGTATATGTAAAAATCATACTGAAATCGGAGAATTTGGGACTGTTTGGGCTACTGGATGAATGACAACCCTGTTTGAAAAATACTACCCAATGATGCACTCATGTGTACATGTACAGTATGTCAACTAACATGTCAATATCAAACTCTCATTTTACTTACTGCACAGTGTTCATGTTCACAAGATTTTTACAGTATATGGCTTCAAAGCTCAAACAATGAAGACTAGCTTCAATGTACATGTATTAACCTAAATTTCACTTTGGTATCATCCAGCTGGAACATTTATTTTGATACAAAAGACAGTTCAGAGGCAGTTACTTGGGAAAAAAGACAAGCAGAATATGTGCAACATGCACGTACATGTACATGTACTATGTGTGTGTACATGTACATGTAGTTGTGTAAACATATAAGCATACACTGTACATGTACATGTACATGCATGAATTACAGGTCTACAGTCCTCAAGTATCGGTGCAGATGGGAGGATCATTTGTGTGCAATACATGTACCGTAGGTTTACTTTAGGGTAATGTACATGTACATACTAGTACATGTGTATTTGTGAGGGGAAAAAAAGAAAGACAATTTCATTTGTAGCATGTGTGAGATGAGAATTCAAGTTTTACATTAATGTCACTCAGCATGTTCCCATAAGACAGAGCACTGAAAGTAACTTGAAAAAAAAAAAACAGGCCAGTGTAGTGAGAAACAGATCTACATGTACATGTACAAATTGTTTGGTCAGAGTTCCCCTGATACTTGAGCAAATAATGATTTGTGTAGGTGTGGGAATGGAGCAAAGGAGATGGGTTGGAATTCCCAGGCAGACTGAGAGGAGACTGAGTGGAGACAGTGCTGGTAATGGACACCACAAGATGGCTGTGTCGGCTAATAGGACAATCCTATCATATCTAATCGGAGGGCCTGGGTAAAGCCTCATCTCAAAGACGACAGCAGCATGACCAAGGATGTGTCATGATAAACTACCTGTATTAATAAAACATCTCCTTCAGCTTGTACAAGTTTGGTGAAAGTATGAAGTGCTTCAGTCAAGAATTCTGTTTGATTTCAATCATTCTGCTTGATTTCAATCATTCTGTTTGATTTCAATCATTGGATTCTTTTAAAGCCTCAGAACAAAAAAGATTTTAATTTGATTTTCCTTTTGCACTGCACATGTGCAATGTAGATTTTGTGATGTGCATAATACATACATGGACATGTTTTGTATTTTTACAGTATATTGGTGTTTTTCATTGTTGATGTTAAACTTTCAAAGATGAAGGTAACGTTTTATCCAAAATGTGTGCTTCCAAATCTACTCAGAGGCATTGGGAAGAGAGATTTTGCAATACAAGTACTCACATACATGTACATGCCACCTAGCGGTGCATGTATGATATACTGTATTACTTTGGATGGCACTTGATTAAAGGTAACCCTTCATACATGTACATGCACCTGCACTGTATATTCCATCAACTGCAAATGATACATATATACTTACAGTTGAAGATGTGGCAAAGCAAGGGATCATGTACATGTATAGTTTTGCCATGTACATATAGTTAATCAATGAGAGACTAGTGAGAGGAGCATTGGGATAAGTGGTTGGTCCAATAAAGACCATCTACGTCATAAACTTCAAAAGCAGCAGTTCACCATTGATGTAAACGTACGATGTTTTAACCTACATGTATTTCTCAGTGTCTTCATGACGGGCAATGTATGATTTGGGGTTTACAAGCACTGTACAAAAACAAACACTTCAAAATGATGGCCAGATTTTTGGCTTAAATTTCATGTGACTTTGAATGTCAGTTGCAATACCTGGCTGAAAGCCAGCACATATCAGAGTTGAAACAAGGCACCTCACCCGCGCTTTTCAATCATTTTCCTTGTCAAGGCAGAACAGGCAGTTTGGTAATCCTAGAACAGACCCTATCCCCAAGTACTCCAATATTGAGACTATCCCAGTGAAAGCCAAAGGCAATAAATCATCTCGCTTAAACTGACACTCTGCCTCAAAGTAGACACATTAAGATTGAAAAGCATATGAATGCTGGTGTCAAGTTTCTGATGTTTTAACCAAGACAAGATTTTGCAGTTATGATAGAAATACATGTAGAACTTGCCACTTAACATGTACACACATTTAATTGTTTATAAGCCCTGTGTGAGATGTATTTCACTGACATGTGCATGTACATGTCATATGAAATAATTCCTGTATAGAGACCAAAGATATGCACAAATTATTCAAAAATGACATAATATGGATAAATACATGTACATGTATGACAAGACAACAGCACTGTTCACAAAGGCAGCACTGTACAAACTGATTACTTTTTCGATTTTGATTTTTTTCACTTCTTTGCTTTAAAACATCCTACATGTATTTGACCATTTTGACTACGCTTCCACAAGCAAAACATTATTAATGTCAAATTACATTAATGTTGCCAGGTGCAGAAATCTTTTTCTGCATTTACACAAAGAGACACAAATCTGACAGGCCCTTGTAAACACAGAACATATCGCCTTGAAAGGCCACAAGAGATGCAAACACTCGGTAAACCTGCATGAACATTCCCCTATGGAAAAAATGCACTGAACAGGAGGAGTCAGTGAAGGAAAACAGGGATACATTCATTTTGACGTTTTCCCCAATGGACGTGCATTTTCATTCATTGACTTTGGCTAATTAATCATTCATTCTACTTATTGGATTCATGCCAAAGTTTACCTCCCAAAGAATTATCTAAGGGCTCTTACTGCCTGAAGTTGTAACTGATGAGTGTTTTCTGTAGTTTTACAATAGGAGAAACTTCTCTGGTGATTATCTTGAGATAAGAAGCTGTTTTCCTTCAAA